CCCCCATAAACCCTAATTTGATTCTTGGAGAATATTGGAGGCTTTCAAGTGGATTCAAACCCTAATTTGATTCTTGGAGAATATTGGAGGCTTTCAAGTGGATTTTTCGGGTGATTTTAGCTTTTGGATTGGAGATCTGCTTTGGCTTGGCATCCTTTCAAGTGGATTTTTCGGGTGATTTTAGCTTTTGGATTGGAGATCTGCTTTGGCTTGGCATCCTAAAACGTTTTTCTATAAGTTTCAGGCGAGTTTATCTCTGCTAATCCCCCTCTTAGTTTTAAAAACGTTTTTAAAGAATTTTTAACATGTTTTATAGAGCCAAATTGACTAGTTTATGAATAAAAGCCAATTCTTTTGTATTATATGTATAAAGACTAGGTCTTTCCATGTTAAAAAGTTTGAGAACGAATTTACAGAAGTATGTAAGATCTGAAAATAATTTAAAACATGGTTTAATCTGAAGAAAGATGATTTGTTCTTCGTTTCGAGTTTTTATGCATGACTTGGGTTTTGAATATAAATTTTATGCAAATAATCATGCTATATATGTTGAGTTTATTTTCAGATGTTTTTATCTACTGTAGACATGCTCTCATGCAAGTTTCATATTGTTTTAATCATGTTTGAATCACCTAAACACGACGTAAACACGACACACACAACCAGATTGAGAATCTGGAATATCAGCCCACGGTCAACCGCGCCATAGCGACGGTCGACCGCGTACAGGACAGAGGCCTGAGTAGGCTCTGGAACCCATCGCGGTCGATCGCCGTTCTTGTGTGGTCGACCGCCACACAGTCTGTGACCTTGTGCATGTTTTGTTCGACTGTTGAGTTTTCGAGCTAGTCTCTCGACCTTGTACTGTTATGATAAAATGTTTATGAGCTGTTTAACATCTGAAATGTCAGTAAACACCAGATATGGACACATACACCAAGATATGTACACATATATTTAAAATATGATGTGTTAACATGATAAATAAGAAAAATACACAAATATTATGTTTCCAGAATAGGAAGATGAAACCTATTTTAGTAGGGCGATTGAGTAAGAGTATTACAAAAGTATCATCATATTATGTTTCTGGAATAGGGAGATGAAACCTATTTTCGCAGGACGATTGAGTAAGAGAATTATAAAAGTATCGTCATATTATGTTTTCGGGATAGGAAGAAAAAACCTATTACCGTAGAGCGATTGAGTAAGAATATTACAAGAGTATCGCTAATGTATAAGAGATGAGCATTTGTAAGTAATATAAATTATAAATTGGTTTCTATTTTTGAATGCCCGCGAGTAGGGTGCTTTCTCTGAGACCGTGACTTACACAACATGATTTTTGGTTGGATTTTGTTTGGATGAGTTCCTTTTATGTTAGATCTATCTACCCGAGTGTAGATCAGGATGAGATATTTGTTTTGGATGAGTTCCTTTTATGTTAGATCTATCTACCCGAGTGTAGATCAGGATGAGATATTTGTTCTACATGTTTGAGGTTTGGAGTGTTTTCCTTTTGGTTTATTGCTTTCATTCATAGGGTTTGGAGTTAATATTTAGGGAGTCACAATTTGAGACATGGTATTGAGGGTTTCCTTGTTTGGATTATTTCGCTCGACGTACTAACTCTCGTGTTGTGATTTCCTAAATATTAACTTCCAGTTAGAATTTTATGAATGATTTCATATGTATATGTACTAACTCTATTTTCTATATACTCCTACCCCTTCCCTTGGGGAGAGGTGGAGATGATCTCGCTATAGCGCTTTAACGCTCGTTGTCCCCCCCCCCTTTCAGGCAGCGAGTCAGGCGTACGGAGAGTCGCATGTTGATGAGATTTTCTCATAGATTCCATCTAGCTATTTACTATTTAGTAGTTATTTCAGAACTCCACAGTTAGTTGTTTATGTTCAGACTCTAAACTTGTATTTCATTTTGTAGAGGTTGAGAGTCATAGTGATATTTTATTTGACTCATTGTACTTGAGGTTTATTTCAGACTCAGAGGTATTTCTATCCTATTTTAGTTGGGCTCACTGATGATTATTCTCATGCTTCCTCTGTGCATATCTGACTTTACTCTATTTCTTTTATTTGCTTGTTTGTACCTTCACCTACTTGTTGTTTCCACTAGAGATATAATAATTGTGATGGTGAAACATATCGTAGCACGGTATTTGATGCTTGGCAGGTTTGACAATCCGGGTTTTACCTTGGACTGCAGCCTTGTGTGAACCCTAGGGCGTCACAGAAACCAAGTCGAAAATGCAAAATCAACATACCTCTCTTTGCTTTGCCTCCCGTCGCTTGAGATCCCCACAGCTGAAAATTCCTCTCTTCTTCTTGCTTGTTCCCCCCTCAAAAATTCCTATTAATAGCTCTCTTAAGTGGAAAAGTAGAGGGAAATTTATGGAAAATATGGAGGGAAAGAAGTAGAGGGATAACAATTTGGGGGAAAATTTGTTTGCTGCGAATTTCATAACTGAACGATCTTTACCTTCGAAATCCCGCTACCGACGATTCCCCCCTAATTCCGCTGCGAGATCTGGAACTAGAAAATTTCTGCCCCTACCCTTGCGTGAGAAGGCGGAACAAGCTTTGTTCTGCCTTTTTACGTGGAATTGTTATCCCCTCTTATGACGGGTTAAATGGGGAAAGAGGCTCACGTGCGGGTTTGTTAGCCCTTCTTGTTTTTTTTTCCTATTTGGTAAGTTAATGACAAGTTAAACTCACTTAACCATTCATTTATCCTCTTGCCAATCGGGACTGAGAGTTCTTCGAGGTTAAGTTTAACTTATCACCGGGGATTGATGGATTTGATACACTAATCTTTAGTATGTAAGACTCATGATTGTTTTATTTTCCCGTATCAACCCAATTAAAGGCTACTGTGACCCTTTTCAATTTGGTAAGAGACTATAGTAGCTACCGAAGATAAATACTTCTTATATTTGCACGAGTTATATTTTTGTCCTAATGAAATCAATAATTCAAACGAAATAAAAAGAACACAATTTTATCATCTGACTTTGCTCGTCAAATCTTCCTTTGTGACAGAGATGATGTAGATTATTAAGGATTTATTTCTAGATTTAAATATATGTTGCATATAATTACCGTGGGAACAAATAGGAAGATAAATACGATATTTTTTTTAAGAATAATAATTAAGAGACTTTTGGTGAGTGTAGCATATTGATAGGTAAGACCGTAAGAGGAAGAATATGAAAAGGATTAAACTTAGGTATATAGATCTATTAAGATTTCAGTATAATCAATTTTATGAACTTTGGTGGATGAATGCGCAGATAAATTTGATTCGGACAATATACAGTGAGATATGGTCAATGACAAAAATCATAAATAACGGATTAACACTTTTCTGTATTTCTCCTTGTAAATTTGGTATATTTTAAAATTATTTAACGTCATCCCTACCTCACCAAAGATAAACAGTGTGCAAATATCAAAAAGAGTAAATGGGTTTGCTATGTCTCTCAACGGAGCTAACGTGATAGACATTCAAACCACCAAGTATAACATGAATATGTTGATGATTTGAGTTATAGTAGTTTGAATGTATGTCATTCAAGATTAAAAGTGCGAACGCCACAATGAAATTCAAATTACATATGGTACTTACCATTTCTGTATATGTTTGCTAATTACGTACATACAGAGTTCTTATAAGTAAACCTCATGGTCGATAGCTCTTAAGTTGGAATCGGATAGGAGTTAACTAAGCGAATATATGTACGAACATAGAAAAATATAAACCGATATAAAATTGATTTAAGAAAAAGAGAAAGGATTGAAATACGCATGTATGCAATAAAAAAATATATAGATATAACTAATTTTTTAAATGACAGTTTAATAGTATGTTTGACATATCTGAAAAGCGAAGACGATTCAAATCCATTAATCTAAATGTCAAAATAATTTCAACTGTCTAATGCATAGAGTTGGATGTTTGAATATGAATGAAAATATTTTGCTTATGTATCTGTGTCTTTATCTATGCCCTATCAGATACGGAAATGGATATATATCTAGGGATATCTGTATCAGTTTTGCATTCCTAATTAGCCCTGGGAAAAAGAAAACTAGTACAGTTTAATTACTATTACATTCACGTAACCCAATTAATATTTAATACATTAGATCCCCAGAATCAGTGTGCAAAATAAATAAAATCATAAAATATATCTCTTCAGTCTTCACCATTTCTTTCGGCACACCAAAACGCGCTCGTCTCCATCCCTCTCCCACTGTCCAAATTCCAAAAGCACTTTTCTCCTCATCTCTTTCTTTAAACTCTTTCCATCCTTTTCTCTCGGCTCCGAGTCATCTTCTCTTCTTTTCTATGCGGCGACAGTGACAGCTATCCAATTTCTATAACCCCAAATCCAAAGAAAAACAAATTAGCAGCCTCTCTATTTTCTTTCTTTTTCTTTCTTTCTTTATCTGCAACCTCCTTTTCCTTTTATTAAGTAAGCTCAATCACGAAATAGATCCTCAATCTTCGTCCATAGAATGATTGAAATCCCTACTGCACTTATTCCTTCATCCAAATTTGGCATTAGAATCCTCACCCTCCTCCTCCTCCTCCTCCTCCTCATAATCCTTGCCATTATCTAGTTGCCCTTTTTTCTTTTGCTCAGATTCATGGTCCAAGTCCTCTTTGAATCATTTGCGGAGCAGTCTGGAATTGGTTAGGGAACCCTTAGCTTCTGTTTTCTCTTCCTGGGTCTTTGCTTTTATGCCCTCTTTACTTCAATTTGACTGTATATAGGCTTGCTCTCTGAAGATATTTTGGCCTCTTCAGAGGGTCTTTGGCCATTGTTTTTCTCTGGGTATTTCACAAAAAAATTTGATTTAGTTGTTAGTTTTATGGGAATAGTGGACCACCCATTTCTTGATCTGGTACAAAAGGTTAGATCTTGGTTTGGTGGTGTTTCTGTTCCTTTAGAAATGTCAGGTTATTGCTACGACTGAGCTGCGGCCGCCTGTTCTGTAGAAAGTGTATGCAGCCTGTTTCTGAGATGCCCAAGTTTTGTAAGTTGTGTTTCCACGCAATCAGCAGCAGCCACGTGGAGCTCGCTGACGGGCAAGCGAGCTCGGTGCCCGATTCGCCCTTGTCGAGAATTCGCAATTCGAGGGTTGCCCATTTGGCTGAACTGTCTAGCTTCTCTTCTCCTCGCTCCTCCAGGTATAATTTCCTGATATAGCTTGACTTTTAGTATAATTGTTATGATTTTTTTATGACTATTAGATGTAATTTAGTACTGTTGTTATGCATAGGAGTGATGAAGAAGAAGATGGTAATGATAGTGGAAAGAACTTCTTCAGTCCTCCAAGTGAGCAGGTGTCTCAGGATGTATCTGACGTAGATTCGGTTAGTATTAGTACCGGTCTCGAGTTACATAGTTTTAAATCTGTGTATTCTAGTCTTTTGGATAGTCCTAGTATAGGTGGTGAGACTACAGGAGATAACAGTCCTTTAGATCGAGAAGCTCCTAGCTACTTTAGAAAAGCTGGAGCTGAGACTGAGGATTTGTTGGAGGGCTCCCATGATTCGGGGTATGATAGACTCTCAGTATACAGAAATCACGCTAGTCAAAAGGTTCAAAACCTGTTGGATTTTGAGAACAATAAGCATATTTGGGATCCTCCGTTGCCTGAGGATGAGAACGATGATATGGAAACCGGGTTCTTTGGATATGATGATGAGGATGAAAATGCCGGTGATTGTGACAATGTTTTCTCTTCTGGTAGCTTTAGTAATCGATCTTTGGGTATAAGAGAGAGGCCTAGTGATGCACATAAAGAACAATTGAGGAATGCAGTTCATGGGCATTTTAGAGCGCTCGTTTGTCAGTTATTGAGAGGAGAAGGGCTTCAAGTTGGAAGTGAAGATGGTAACAAAGGATGGTTAGATATTGTTTCTTTGTTGGCTTGGGAAGCTGCGACTTTCGTCAAGCCAGATACCAGCAAAGGTAGCAGCATGGATCCCGGTAATTATGTGAAGGTGAAGTGTATACTTTCAGGAAGTCCGAGTGATAGGTAATATTTTTGTTTTGCTTTGGTTATAGATTTTGATAGCTTTTTTCTCTTTGCTGTGAGAAACTGATGTGGTTAGATTCTACTTGCAGCATTCTTGTGAAGGGAGTAGTTTGTACGAAAAATATCAAGCACAAGCGAATGGTTTCTCAGCATAAAAACCCGAGATTGTTTCTTCTTGGGGGAGCATTGGAATACCAAAGAGTTACCAATAAGCTGGCATCTTTAAATACTGTACTGGAACAGGTACATCCTAGTCCTATCTAGTAGTTTCAGTGTTTTTTCCCCCTATTTAATTAATACGATATCTGAGCTCATGATTATTTACAGGAAACTGATCACCTTAAGGTATCCTTATCGAAAATAGAGGCCCATCGGCCTAACGTTCTGCTTGTAGAAAAGAGTGTATCCTCATATGCTCAAGAGTATCTACTGACAAAGGAAATATCACTGGTGTTGAATGTGAAGAGGAAACTTTTAGAGCGAATAGCCCAATGCACAGGTTCCCATATTGCTCCATCCATTGATAATATTGCTCCAGCAAGATTGGGATATTGTGACAATTTTCGGGTAGAGAAGTTTTATGAAGAATGTTCATCTACAAGCCATCCAAATAGGAAATTCATGAAAACCCTCATGTTCTTCGAAGGTTGTCCACGTCGATTAGGATGCACGGTAATGAATAATATTTTTATCTTTCTTTCCTGATTTAATCCTTTCCTGTATCTCGAATTCATTTTATATGTAATGTGTGTAATTTTCTTGTATTCTTTATCTGTTTATCTCTTGGCTAGGAGAATTGAGGTAATGGAATTAGCTTTGATCTTGTCTTTTGACGCCTATGCATAATGGAATTGAATTTTCTTCACTGCAATTTTGGAAGGGTAGAAACGTTAATCATAACCGTCCAATAGTATTTAGACGGTTACGATCCATTCTTTGTATCACTACAACTATTCTTCCTTTTGTATTGCATCTTTTTGTCCGTTGTTGTCTTGTGTTTCATGATATCCCATCATCAGAAATCAACAATAATATCAAAGGATATCTCCAATGTTATTACTCTACTTTTACCAGGTTACTATATTATCATGTTGCAGGTCTTTGATTGTGTCCCTGATTCAACTTATATATACTTTATGTAGGTTCTTCTACGTGGCACAAATCGCGAAGAATTAAAGAAGGTTAAGCATGTCGTTCAATATGCAAGCTTTGCAGCCTATCATCTATCACGTGAGACATCCTTCCTCGCTGATGAAGGCGCTACACTTCCTAAGGTTCCCGTCAGCCCTCAAATGATCTTAACAACAAAGATATTGGATGCCGAGACTAGATCTTTGAAGAATTCAACTTCAATTGTCCCTGAGGCACGCCAAATTAGCTCATGCACTAGTGATGCAGTTAGTTGCTTCCTTCAATGCTCAGATGTTCCATCTCCTCGTGGAGATATAAGCACTAGCGACAGTTTTCAGTTAAAAAGGGAAACTTGTGAACCTTTAGATTTTCCTACTGATCTAGGAGATCCTAAAGAAGTGATTACGAGTACGATTGCAAAAGGAAGAAACAGTGAGCTTTATAAGGAACTTATGTCAGATAATGAAGGGATGATAAAGGGAGCATATATTGAAAATGAGGCTGCAGACTACTTCTCTTCTGCTGACAGTCAAAGCATCTTGGTTTCCTTATCTACTACTTGTGTGCTAAAAGACACTGTTTCTGAACCCTCTCAACTCTTGAGAATTAAATTCTATGGAAGTTCCGATAAGCCCCTAGGGACATTTCTCCGTGATGACTTATTTGATCAGGTATCACCTGTTTCAATTATATGATACAAGTTTTAAGGATAAATTTCACAAAAATCCCCTGAACTTTACAAATCACAGAGAACTGACCAGACTTTTCCCAATTTTGGGAAGTGAAAGGGTAGTTTAGACATTTTACTTCATCTGTTAATGTTGTTTATGAGAAATTTCAATAGTTCATGTAGTTTGGTATAGCTTTGTAAGTTTAGTAGGGGATTTTCTATGATTTATAAAAGTTCAGGGATTTTATGCAAAAGTTCCTAAAGTTTAGTAGGTTTTTTTTTTCCGAAATGGATGGACCCCCTTAGTTCTAGTTGCAGATAGACCTCATGAGTGAATTTTTTTGACTCTTTTACCCTAAAGAATGCAATGTTTTGACAAATATACGTCCTGAAGTCAAGAAATTCTCTCAGGGGGTCTATTCTCAATTAGGTGCTAGTAGAGGGAGTTTATCTACAATTAACCCTTTCAAAATTTACTCTAATTACAATCCTATAAGGAAGTCTTTTGCTTTAATAGTTTATGGTATTTTACCACCTGGACAGACATCTTGCTGTCAATCTTGTAAAGAACCAGCAGAAGCCCATGTTCGGTGTTATACTCATCAACATGGCAGCCTTACCATAAGTGTTCGTCGACACCCTTCCATCAAGCTACCGGGAGAACGAGATGGAAGGATATGGATGTGGCATCGATGTCTCAAGTGCGAAAACAGTAATGGGGTCCCACCTGCTGCTTGTAGAGTTGTCATGTCCGATGCAGCGTGGAGCCTTTCTTTTGGGAAATTTTTGGAGCTTAGCTTTTCGAATCATGCTACAGCTAATCGTGTTGCAAGTTGTGGCCATTCTCTCCAAAAGGACTGCCTTCGTTTTTATGGGTACTAGCTTTTACCTTGTGCACTCCTTGTTCTTACTTGCTCTTGATCCATGGATGGGATAAGGCTGTGCTGTATGAATTTAAATCTTAATTAGCTTGTTACTGAGACAAAGTAATGCATTGTTTTTTGTCTTTATTATAAAGAAATTTTAAGGGCACGGCTATCCAGAAAAGCATTGCTTGTGTAATTTAAATGCAAGAAAGAATGGCTTTTCTATATTTCGTTCTGTTTTGTTAATAAAATTTATTGGGGTGTTATAATATAATAAATACAATGTTTGAAGAAAATCTCCTCTGCTTTTGGTGTTAAATTTTGGTCTCACCCTTTATTTCTTTACTTTGACAGGTGTGGAAGCATGGTTGCCTTTCTCCGTTATTCCCCTGTCAATATTCTTTCCGTTCAATTGCCGCCTTTGGTGCTTGATTTTGCTTGCCAAAGCCAGCAAGAGTTGGCTAAAAGAGAGGCAGTTTCTGTATGCTATTAAATTTATTCGTTATATATTGTGTTGTATCATACTGTAACGTAGATATTTATATGTCTAGTTTCTATTTCTTGTAGATTGCAAGCAAAATCGAACTCCTACATGCAGAGGTCAAGGATGTACTCCACACCTTTGAGAAAAAGAATACAACCTCCAAGTGTGAAGCTGTAAAGACAAGCATCCACAAGTACATTATGGAGCTTAAGGATCTGCTGGAGAGGGAAAGAAATGAATATGATGTAAGCATGATGCCATAAATATTGTTTTCTACTTTCCATGTCATCTATTTTGATAATCCATTTGCTTCCCTACTTTTACCAGCATTTTTTCCGTCTAATAACAGGTATTTCTACAGCCATCTCCCATGGATGATAGCTCACCCTCTCTGGAAACAATAGATATACTAGAGCTAAATCGTTTAAGGAGATTCCTCCTAATTGATTCTCATATGTGGGACCGACGACTCTGCCTCTTGGATTCTTTTTCCAAGTCAAAAACCTCTACCTCCAAACTTAACCCACTAGAATGGAGGACTGAGCCAATTGATATTGATGAGAATTTTAAAAAGTTTTCCGAAGGATCCATATCAAAGCCCAGGAATTTGTCTAAGCTTCAGGAAGAGCTCGACTTGTGTCTTTTAGAGTGTCATTCGAACAACTCAGTTGAAACTGACTGGTCGATTGAATCCGTTGAGGGCTATAATGGTCCTGCATACAGTTTTGTTTCTGATCATTATTGCAGAGGAGATGATGACATGCAAACCACTAACGAAAATTGCCCTGAAATTACTTCGTTGCAGAGATTACCATCAGCTGCTTCCACTTTGTCTGATAAGATTGATTCCTTATGGAGTGGTAACCCTGATTCTGATGCGATTGGATCCATAACTCTGTTGGATAATCCACTCTATAGAAAGGCGATTTCTCCTCTGAGAGTTAATTCGTTTGATTCGGCTTTGAGATCACAGGACAGAATTCGTAGAGGACCTTCTGCTTCATTGCATTTGACTTCAGTGAGATCATTTGATGCATCGGGAGACTTTGCCAGTACCAATATTTCTCAAAGATCTCCAAGGTCCAAGAGAGTAAACTTCCTTCCGGGTGATGCCCCCGTCTTTATATCCTCAATCTATAATATGGTGGGTGAGGGGGCCCGTTTGCTACTCCCTCAAACTGGACGTGATGATTTAGTGATTGTGCTCTATGACAATGAGCCCACCACCATTATATCCTATGCTATTAGTTCCCAGGATCATGCTGATTTCTTAACATCAGATCATCAAGTGAGCCACGAAAGTTCTGCTAGGCCATCAATTTCTCAGTTTCAGTCGGACGAGGCAACTCACTTCAGGATTTCTTTTGATGATGACTCGTCAATTCCTAATGACAGAGTGAAGTTTTCTGTGACATGTTATTTTGCTAAGCAGTTTGCTGCACTTCGGAAGAAGTGTTGTCCCAATGAAGCTGATTTCTTGCGTTCTCTAAGCCGCTGCAAGAGATGGAATGCACGAGGGGGTAAAAGCAATGTATACTTTGCTAAGTCACTTGATGAGAGGTTTATCATAAAGCAGGTCACAAAGACGGAGTTGGATTCTTTCGAGGTATTTGCTGCTGAATACTTCAAGTATATGACAGAATCAATAAATAGTGGAAGTCCAACCTGCCTTGCTAAAGTCCTTGGTATTTACCAGGTTAAGTTTTTTTCAAAAACCTGCACACTTATGTATAAACTATATATTTGTGTTCATCCTCATAATTCTTCCTTTGTTTCCTTCATTAGGTGACTGTTAGGCATTTAAAAGGTGGACGAGAGGTGAAGATGGATATGATGGTGATGGAGAATCTCTTCTTTGGGAGGAGTTTATCAAAAGTCTATGATCTCAAAGGCTCATTGCGTGCTCGGTACAATCCTGATACCTCTGGAAATGACAGTGTTCTGTTAGACCTGAATCTGTTAGAATCAGTAAGAACAAAGCCGATATTTCTTGGAAGCAAGGCAAAGAGAAGATTGGAACGAGCTATCTGGAATGATACATCATTTCTTGCGGTATAAATCCAATCCTTGTCAATTTATGTCAATGGTTTCTTCTTTGTTGCTATAATCTTAATCATATATGGTCCATGGCATTGATAATCATCCAGTATTACATAGCACCATTGATCTATGAGACTAACTGATTTATGCAAGTACATCCAATGTGTAGACTTATTTTGTTTAATTGCGAATGGGAACACTCGTTTCGGCTGTCTAATCATGACATATTTATACACATCTACATGTACATCAATAAATTACGGGAGTGTCCCTCTTTGGTTTTCCATGAGATGACAGAGAACTTGGCATAAATTTTTATATGTGGTACAGTGAATCTAGTTAATCCATTAATCCTACAATCAAACCCCAGTTATATTTTATAGTAAAATATTCCTAATATACTAGTACAGTGAATCTAGGTAATCCATTAATCCTACAGTCAAACCCCAGTTATATTGTATAGTCAAAAATTCCAACTATGCTAGTACGGCGAATCTGGATAATCCATTAGTCATGTTTCATATTATAATTATCGACAATTGAAATTGAGAATTTATAGCACGCTACTTGTCTAAAAGCTGATTTTTCTATCTTTCCCATTTCTAGTCTGTTGATGTCATGGACTATTCATTACTTGTTGGCATCGATGATGAAAGGAAAGAACTCGTTATAGGAATCATCGATTTCATGAGGCAGTACACATGGGACAAGCATCTCGAAACTTGGGTGAAAGCTTCAGGCATCCTCGGAGGCCCCAAGAACGAATCCCCAACCGTGGTATCTCCATTACAGTACAAAAAGAGATTCAGAAAAGCAATGTCGAAATATTTCCTCACTGTTCCTGATCAGTGATTCATCCTTATCTGCAAATTACAAAATTCTTAAAGGTAAAGAGTAGTGAACATAACAGGCAGCAAATTTTTTTTACAGGTTTTCTTTTGCCCATCCCGCGCCCCGCCCGATTATAATGTTATCGGACTGCTCATTGTATATGGGATCAGACCCTAGACATCAAGCTTTTGAATTGCAATGTCTAGGCCATCGGACTTGTAGAGTTTGATCCCATTGCCTTCTTACGGTATTTACTTTTTTTTTCCCTTCATGATTGCATTTTATATTGGACATACTGTACGGCATTGATGCACCGAGCATTGAATTAATTTATGGCTATGGAGATTTTTGTTTTGTTCTTCTTCTTCTTTTAGTTGTTGTTATTATTATTATTATTATTGGTACAAAGAACCATAGCTTAGTATCAGCCAAATAAACCCCGAGATGTAAAAGAAAGGGCTTCCTTCTTTTTCTTTTTCCTTTTTTTATTTTGGCTTGGAAGTGACATTGTGTCCTGTATTTAGAGATTCGGAATTTTAATTAATGTAATCAATAATGTATAAAAATATTTAAAAACAAATTAAGTATGGAATTTTAAAAGGATACTTACATAGTGAATTAATCTTCAACCGAGATTGATGCATAACAGTCAAACCATACTCTTCATTGGCCTCTTTGTCGAGGTTTTACCATCTGGATCCTGCCACTGAGAAGAAAGACTTCAGATAGAAAGAAACTCTTATACATGAGAAGTACAGAGGAAAACAAGCAAAAAGGAGTAAACCAAAGCGGATCCGTCTACAACTCAAAGCACCTTGCCAAAGCCCATGGATCAATAGGGACTAGGGTTTTTCTTTTGGGAAGAGCCTAGACTAATATGCCGAAATATATTTATACAAAGATTAATTAAGGTAATTTACCCCACAAATATCCACACCTTTGCTCTGGGTAGATAATAAACTGATGGGCAGAGTTATAGAATCCTAAAATGTTCGGATATCCTACTTAAAACCCAAGATATTTTTGGACAACCTCAATAACCTACGGTTATTTGAAAGTGGATTCCAAAAAAAAACAAAAGCTTTGATTGTTTAGTGACATTTTCAAACTTTTTATAGGTTATCTCAACATGCGCTAGACATGGGGTTGTGAAATTTTTTATCCTTTACGAAGAAAATATTTCACAATTTAATGTGAGGAAATACACATCCCCGCAAATAGAGTAGTAGACGCTAATAGGGCAATAGCCTATTAATATGAAAAAAATAAGGTGCTCCACTTTGTACCTTAATAAATATCAATTTGCATGTAAAATAGTGTACTAATTGTAACAGATTTGTTCTTGGCCTTGCCAAAAGATTTCCTAGTGATTTTACCAACAAGACTATATTTGTAGGTGGGCAGATACATCTTGGTACGCATACCTTAGAGGTCACCCTTGGTGAGCTTACATGTATCCTCCAATATGGCCTAGTCTATAATGTCATAAATTAGATCCAATCTTTCACTGTACAAATAAAGTAGAAGATAAATCTAATTATCTAATAACGAGGCACATTTTAAAATCAACTAGGAGATTAACTTGACGTTCTATGCAAAACAGATAATTCTAGAAGTAAATCTATGTAAGTCACCCATGTATGGGAAACTAACATGAATCTCACAAGTCTAACTACCAAGAGACAATTCCTCATCAATGATGGGAGTATTCTAAAATCTATTTATTCCCTGAATCCGGAGAACACCTTTATGCATTGACGCCCAACACTATTATATATTCTCCCACTAGATCTTTTTACTCCTATATAAAATCTTTTGAAACTCTACAAACTAGTCTTTACCCTGCAGATGTAGTCCACACATCCCAAGTTTTTGTTAGGATTGTGTCTTTGATTCTTTATATAACTTCATGAGAATTAAACAGGGTTGGAGGTCTATCATGATTAGGAGATTATATCTCATCATGATTAGGAGTTTGTATCCTATTCTAATTAGGAAGTTAGGTTAGAAATATGGTTTTGGTTTCTCTCTATATATTCTTCTATTGTTAGAGGAAAAAAAAAGGAGAGGAGAGAGAGACAATACTATTATAAACTAGGGTTAGCAGAGGGCGTAGACTGATTCAATAATATTATGCGAGAGACGTGGGTTTCATAATTTTTGTCCATACAAAAGATTACAACATTAGGAGAGGACTTCGCAGTCTTTGTCTGTTCAAAAGATTGTAAGGAGAGGGCTTTGGAGAGAACATGAGAGTTGATTATGTATGTGAGGTTGAGAAATTGAGAGATGAGAGTTAAGTGGTTCTTCTTGTAGTTCTCCCTGATACATAATGGATTTTCTCATATTGTTGCCCCGTGGATATAGGTCAAAGTTGGAGCTTTATTCCCACTCCCAGTAGTCTGTCTTCAGTAGTTTGCTTGGAAAGTCTTTTTTCGTAAGCAGGAGCATAGCACTTCGCAGGTGAAGGCGCAAGATGTTCTTCTTCCCTTTATAGCGGCTTCTTTCATTTTCACATGAATATTGTACTATTTCCCGACATCGGAGTCGATCGAACCACGCATATCACAATGTTCTTTCTTCTTGATTGTGATTATTTTATATCTCTTGATTATGGGTTGGCTTATGAGTTATGCAGATCGTAGTAGGCGGAGAGACAATTCTCTAACAAGTGGTATCCGAACGATGGTGATGGATCCAAAGTTGAGTTCACAAGATAGAAAACAATATCGTGCAAGATTGAAGATCAGCATTACGATAACCAAGATGAAGAAAAAGAAAAAAAAACAAAAAGCGACCAACTGAAAGAACGCCGACGATCTAAGGCAGCAAAGGGGGCGAGGTCTTCCGCGAATCGCCGACCGCGGGCTGCAGGTTACAATGGCGACGAACGAAAAATTTCTCACGTGAGAGGACTTGAGAGTCCTGTGGGGTCCGCGTCAAGGAGGAAAATTCTTTTCACGTGAAGAGAACTAAGTTTACATTGGTGAAGCAATCTGGTGTTTGTGTTTGATGGCTGGTACTTGGTGTTTTGAAGGAGGCACGTGGCCTTTTGGTTGATGAGTACTAGTCACATGGATAGATTGAAGCACTAATTAACTAAAAAACAAATTTTGGATATGGTGTGCATTTTGTAGTGTTTGATGTTTTGTTCAATCAATGACTAAGGTTGATTGAAGTATAGATTAATGAATCGTAAGCGGAATTCTAGCGATCCAGGAGTTGATTTCTAGGTTTTTGAGTGCTCTAAATGTGATGGAAGGGTTTGATTATTCAAATTATGCTCAAATTAGTCAGAAGATAAAGGAAAGTTCTAATAGTGGTGACAAGACAAATCTGATGACAGATGGGGCAAACATGTATGCTACAGTTGAGACTATTATAGAGAATTAGATGTAATTTTAGTAATAGAGTTGTCATTATATAATTATTCGGAGTCATCGCAGGAGTATGAGTTGGTTGGTGTGTAGCCTCGTGGATGATAGTGTCAATTTATGTGGAGCTTGCAAGCGGGCACAACCGACTGACACACATGTTGATGAAGATGCTGCCATTAGACTTGTAGAGAGTTGTAGGAGAATGAGTGCTCATAATTGGTCCGAGCTAAGTGATGGAGGAGATGAAGGCATAGGAAAAGTGCACCGAGAGGTGGTGAAGATTTCATGGTGCGCACAAGAGAGGTGGAGGCGCCACAGCGAGGCAGATGAAAGTGAGGGTCATAGAGGCATCTAGGTTGGAGCACAAGTGTTTCAATTAGGAGTGCAGATGCTTTAGATTGAAGTACACAAGAAACAAAAGACTCTAGTAGGAGAGGCAAAGTTTCAAGATGGTAATTGTATACCTTCAAGGGGTTTTGAGAATCAAATCCATGGTGAAGATTGTTAGGATTGTGTTTTTGATTCTTTGTATAACTTCATGAGAATTAGATAGGGTTAGAGGTCTATCATGATTAGAAGATTGAGTCTCATTGTGATTAGGAGTTTGTATCATATTCTAATTAGAAATTTAGGCTAGAGATAATGTTTTGGTTTCCTATATATATTCTTCTATTGTTAGAGAAAAAAAGTAGAGGAGATAGAGATAATATTCTCGTAATCTAGGTTAGCAGAAGGCGTAGCCTGGTTCAAGAAAAGTATGCGAGAGGCAAGTGTTTCGTAGTCGTTGTCCATGCAAAAGATTACAATATTAGGAGAGGGTTTCACAGTCTTTGTCCGTTCAAAAGATTGTAAGGAGAGAGCTTTGGAGAGAATATGAGAGTTGATTATGTATGTGAGGCTGGGAGATTGAGGGACAAAAGTTAAATGGTTCCTCTTATAGACCCTGATACATAGTGGATTTCTCGTATTGTTGCCCCGTGGATGTAGGTCGAAGTTGGTCGACAAAACCACGTAAATCTTGATGTTCTTTCATCTTTATTGTGATTATTTTTTATCTCGTTGATTGTGTGTTGACTTCCAAGTTATGCAGATCATAGTAGGCCGGGAGACTAAAAATTTCCAACAGTTTTCTCGGTTGCACGACCTCATTCGCAAAATGATCGGCTTGTCTGTAGTCATAATAATTGATCCTGCTCTTATCAATTGACTTTTCACCTTTTAATCGACTTCTTTTATTTCAGAATCCATTCTGAAAATCTCTTGGGGTCCACTGCAATTAGGCTCATTTCCTTGCGCACAAGGTTCAACTACCAAAGTTAAAGTAGACATGTTAGCTTTGAACACACCCTGATGTTTAGACTCTAACTTCACTTTTATTTACACATCCTCAGATGTTGTCTCATCTGCGACATGCAATAAAAGTAATAAATATTTTCCCTGGAGTTTTGTAAAGCCCTGATAACCACCTGAATTTGCCACTCCTAGCACGATGTGGTTCCAACCATCTCATGATCCCTGATCATTAAGGTTATCAACCAAAGGTGAATTCGATGTTCTACCCCGTAGAAATATTGTTTGAATCCAACATAATAATCAGAACTTGGGTCCTCATTGAAGAGACACATTCAGACCTCGCCTTAAGAGCATCATCAAAGCTCTTAGTTTTCAAATAATCCTCAAACTCCCCGATAAGACCGCTCCTCATACAATCCACTTAGTGAACCACTTGAGCGATCTCTCAGTTTTCAAACTTTGTACTGATTGGTATCATGTCTTTGAGTCTGAGTTGAACCTTATTCCGGCTCGAACATTATTGCCTGAATACTTGCTTAAATCTCCTGTTCTCAAGAGAAATTTGCTCTTTTGACAGAAGTATCTATGACTTACAATCCCGGGCTGAAAGTGGAAAATTATGTTGGTACCATTTTAAGAGAAGGATTAAGACACTCAAATTACAGATATGTTAAGATTATTGGTATTTTGCA